CTGTATTGCTGCATGTATTAATCTGATAGCATGGTGGTACTGAAACAGCACAAAAACACAGACTGCAAGCATGTTAGCCTCCTAAGTGATGCTTAATAAAAACAGGCAAAGTCTCACCGGACTTGTTGGGGTGTTTCAGGACGTATGGTTTCATGTCCAACAGAAAATGATCAAACTCCGTGTCCAGCCTCTCCCATGAGTCTTCGCGTTTGCTCATGGTGACCTGAGGATGAATACATGGACAGAACAAGACGGTGAGAGCCAGTCCGTCACTACTATCAGAGAAACATCAGCCCTCAGATCTAAACCATAACATGCATGTAAACTGCAGCATTACTTCTCAACAGTTTGTGCATTTTCTGTATCATGTATGGATTTTCATCTGATGTGCAAAATGTCAGGTGCAATATTTATCAAATATTATTCAATTTTCATCTCATGTTTTGGGTGCAATATTTTATTATCATGACCTGAGTATAATTACCAGCATTACTTTTTCCTGCTTACTTATTTAATATATCGTGCTTATATCTTATTGCTTGTCTGCTTTTCAGGCAACACATCATTTATGTCAAGTCTTTTTGTTGTTTGCTTTTGTTGTTTTTTTCCGATCAACATGTGGCCTCCTGGGGCATTAATAAAGTTTTATCTTGTCTTGTATTAGCAAACACTACATTCATGAACCAGATGATTCCGTTTCTGAACCAAACACAGACGTGTAGGTGTTTCAAACAGGATAACATCGTAATGTTGGCTTGAGATGACACGACAACTACTTTATAGCTGTAATAACAAACGATGTTACCAGAGGAGCTACAGACGAGCAGGCTAAGAGGAACTAGCGCAGCATTAGCAAACAACTAGCGCTAGGCTAGCTAAAGCAGGCTAGCCCGGCGCTAGCGGTACCTGTCGTTCTGACGTCAGGCTCTCACACGCAGCCTGAACGGGTCGCGTTGTTTGTAACGAATGTAAACGTGAAGTAAAAACAAGCCAGTTATACCCACAGCACTGATTTCGCCGCTCAAAATGGTTCAAAACTTCGGCGTCCTCGCTTTACGCCACATCCGGTGTCCGTGGAGACGCTGCGTCGCGCTGCTGTTGCCATAGAAACGGCACTTCTTCTTCTCCGCCCACTGTTGAACTACTACCTGCTACTACGAAGCTACTATGCTTCAGTGAGTCTGTTAAGAGAAATATTTTCTACCAAACTGCTTGTAAATATTACAGAATGTAGTATTCATTATTCTCATCTTGCTATTTTTGTTTGTAATTAAATTTCCCATATCTAGTACGGGTTTTTTTCTGTTTTATTTTTGTTTGTTTGTTTGTTTGTTTGTTTGTTTGTTTGTTCGTTTGTTTGTTTGCACCCCCAACTCTGCTGTGTCTTGCAAATCTCAGAACACAGATTTCTGCTGTCAGTGAGTCGTATAGCTGTGCTTCTGCTATCTGTGTTCATTAGGACTGTGCTTGGAGGGAAAATGCCAATTATGAGCATCTTCAACACTCAATTAGTTTTTAAGATTTAGGTCTTCAGATTCTTCAATATCTTTAGTTTCTTTATTTTCAGTTTTTAAAAAAACAACAACTTACTTACAGGCAGGGACTCAAGACATGCATCTCATTCAGCATAGTTTAGGTGAAGTGTTTATTTTCTCTTCTGACAGTGTTCAGCTGAAGTAATAAATAAAAAAAAATGTAAATAAACCAACCAACTGCAGTAGAAGAAAATAAAACCTGTAACACAAAAATGTACAGATGGAGCACTATGCAGCTGTTTAAATAGATAACTAAAACCTTGCAGTAAATATAGAAACAAGCAGCAACAACAACAACAACAACAAAAAGTGAGTGTGTGCAGGTCGGAGTTCTTCCTGAGTCTGGCTTCAGCAGCTTCAGCAGTTTACTGCAGCAGTAAGGGCAGGGATGAGTTTCTTATTCATATTGTCCTGATGCATGTTTCTGTATTTAAAATTATTAAAATTCTTCTTCTTATTATTATTTCATTCAGGCTGTTTGTCCTTAACTCAGTGGTGAAGTTGTTTGCTCTATGGAGCTTTTCACTGCTGTTTTAAATCCTCACTCTTGGTTTCATGACACTCTTTACTTTCCTTTGCAGTGCTTTTGCTATGCAGTCATGACATGACTGAAAGCTGCCACCGTGGTTCTGTAGCATGTCTGGCCTATTCTGGGATGGCATGGACTGCAGTGACATGAAAGACAGTGTGTCTCCATTTCTAGGCACCTCTGATCTATTTGTGCTTATTGGAATAAATATCCTACCTGTTGTTTCCTAAACTTCCAAACCTAAATCAACTACACATGCCCTATTTCCCTTTAGTGGAGCCCTATTTATTTTACTTTTAAACATAAAAACCTAAAGACAAGGGGAATAAACATGGTATACATATTTTTCTTCTCTTCCACTAGATGTTTCTGTTGTGTTTCCGTCGATCAGGCTGCTTTTATCTCTACCTCCCGGCTAGTTATATCTTTAGGAAACTGTTGATATTTAATTTAATTAGTGATCCTGAATCATTCTGTTGTATTGCCCTGTTTGAACTACACATGGCCTTCATATCTCAGACAAAGTGACACTAAATTAGGAGGCAATATATGAGATAGTCGCCACAGATCTGTGGCATTGATGACAGTCTAGTAGGATTGTTAGCGTCATTAAAGAGTGCAGTCTAGTTTAGATCCACATGGTGGCGCTAAATGTCTGCATTTCAGACAACCGTCTGCAAATGATGGAGACACATGTTGCATTCAGGTGCTCCTCGAATGTTTTCCATCTGCAATCTCTGTTGTGTCATTAAAATTAGTGCTGAAGTGAATTAACAATATAAACTATGAGGCAGTGAGAGCGCCACATTAATAAATAAATCACTAAAAGAATCATAAAATAAAAGTAGAAACATAAAGACAAATAAATAAGAAAGAAAAAGAAAAGTAACTTTATTTAAAAACCAATAAATAAAAATAAATGTAACAAAATATTTAAAATAAATAATTTTTATTATTTTATTTGTTTGTCTTCATATTTTTACTTTTATCAGCCTTTTCTTTTATGGATTCATTTCTGATTCATGTTGCTGTATATTACCACATTATTTGATTTAGTCTTCTTTTTATTTCTGCTTTTATTTTATTCGGCTTTTATTGATTTGTTTTTGTAATTTGGCGCTCTCACTGCTACATAAGAAACTGAACAAAAATCCATAAACTGCGAATGCTATTCTTTTCTGACTTAGCGTGAAAGTTAAAAAACTAATTTCTGTTGTTACAACTAAAAAAAAGCTTAAATTTATCCATTTCTGCACAAAACAGACAAGCTGTGGCTTTAAAGCAGAACAAAGGCCTTAAAAAGAATGTATAGAATTTAATAAAGCAGTGCAGGATGCGTTTATGTTTCTGTTCAGTGTGGGTGCAAAGGCCTACGTCATTCTGCAGAAGTCAGATGAAGTTTTATTTCATGCATCTCACCAATAAAACTATTTCTAAACAAAGGCCCAGTAGGACTTCCCAGATATACAAGCAGCTACTTGTAGAATGTGTTTGCAGAAAATGTAGTTAGTAGATCATCAAGGTAAACTTTTCCCTTTTCACCTTGTGATTGTGAAATGGACTTTGCATATCCAGATGTACAATGTTTTTTTTTTTATTAAACACCTGTTAAAATACAAAATAGTCTTTATATGAAGAGCCTCAGTAGATGTGCCCTCCATAGGTTTGAGTAGGTTTCCCCCCAAACCAGCTCCGCTAAGACTTCCAGGTGGGTATTTGCATTGATAAATTCCCACGGTACGTGAAGGCAGCCTCCTCCGACGTCATCCTGAATGAAAAAGAAGCGCTGAGCCGAGGGCCGGCCAGAGGGGAGGCGTGCGTCCGTCAGCAGGCTGCAGGAGAGCGCACACCTGTCCGGAGCGGAGCGCGCATCCAGGAGCTGGCACAGATCGACCAGGACAACACCGACTTGTGGCTGTAGTTTTTTTGTTTTTGATGATGGCTGACCATCTTTTGCATTACAACGACTCAGCTGGAGTCGGGAACCGATTCGCCCGCAAAGGTGCTTTGCGGCAGAAAAACGTGCACGAAGTGAAAAACCACAAATTTATTGCGAGATTTTTCAAGCAGCCGACGTTCTGCAGCCACTGCACAGACTTCATATGGTGAGTTTCACACCTGCCTCAGCTCTCAGGGTTCATTCATGCTTCTGTGGCTCCGCGGTTGTTTTCATGGACTGTGCAGGTTTCAGAGCTTTACCACGAGTCCAGACTTCAGCTTTAAAGACTCATCAGGAGTTTGCAAATGAACCCCTTTAACAGGATGCTGATAGGAAACACCCAGTTCCTGTTGCCAACACTTGTGCTTTTTTTTGCAGGGGATTTGGGAAACAAGGATTCCAATGCCAAGGTAAACCATCTTTACTTGTGTTGATGCATTTTATTGGCAGAGCTGGAGGCTCAGACACCAGAATACCTGACGTCACCATTTGTCTACTTTACTGGAGGGACAGAAGCTGAGCTGGATTCATGCCCTTCAGCATTCACAGCCCCGAGCTTCACTGACAGCAGAAAACTGCACAGTTTCCAACAGAGTCACTAGACGACACTGAAGCATCTGCAGTCGAGCATCAAGTTATTACAGCTGGAAATAATGAGTGCGCAGAAGACAGTCTGAATTTAAAAAGCTTTATTTTCTGAGAGCGTGGCAGTCTGTAAAGCAAGAAAACAGGTTAGTGTTTGCAGGACAGTTATTCAAGATGCCAGATGAGAGTTGATTTGAGACGCTGAACGTACCATCAAGTGTTAATACGTCTTTGATGCAGATTGTTGACTTTGTGCAGGGTCTTGGAAATCTGGAAAGCTTGTCATTTCAGGATCGGGTCCATATTCTGGCTGGTAACTGGTTCTGGACTGGATGTAGCGGGCTCTCTGGTAGCCGTATTTGGATCGGTAGACATACGCTTGACGTTGGTCAGGAACAGTCTGCTCACTGACTACCTGGACAGGCTGGAATCTCTGGACAGGCCGGTATCTCTGGGTTCTGAACACTGGTTTTCTTGGCCGGTAGTTCATGCCATCAAAGTTAAAGTTTCCACCTCCAAAGTAAAAAGCTGGGAATCCTTTCCAGAAGTCATCAAAAGACGGGAATGTTGGATACCTTAAATATGAGGGTTGCTGTTGTGAGAAGCCATATCTAGCTGAAGAGTCTTGGCCCAGGTTGGCCTGGCCCAGGTTGGCCTGGCCCAGGTTGGCCTGGCCCAGGTTGGCCTGGCCCAGGTTGGCCTGGCCCAGGTTGGCCTGGCCCAGGTTGGCNTTGGCCTGGCCCAGGTTGGCCTGGCCCAGGTTGGCCTGGCCCAGGTTGGCCTGGCCCAGGTTGGCCTGGCCCAGGTTGGCCTGGCCCAGGTTGGCAGTATTGGAGGAAGCATCATAACGTTGAGAAGGCACAGTGTTCCCAGGATACTGAAAGACCGTCTCATAGACGAGGTTGTGACGGTTGCTGGAGTCGCCCCCGTGTGCACTGGAGCCAGTGTTGGAGGCCTGGTATGAGATGCCAGGCCTCGAGTCAGCCACCCCGTAATCTCTGCTGACCGGTTCAGGCTTCCAAGACTCCTGAACAGGAGGGGATGGGAGAGGCCGATAGGATGCAACTCGACTAGCGTAGCGACTGGTGTCACCAGCGCTTGGAGTGGCAGGCGTGCTGCTCATGTGAGCACCTGGGGACGGAGCTTGGGTCGGGACTTGTTGGGGATATCCTGGGCCAGCTGGCTGGTTGGGTCTTAAAGGAAAGACGAGTGGCCTTTGATAGTTGGGCAGCGCCCAGAGTTTCGGGTCACCATTAACAGGTTTCTGTACCTTGGGAGCACTCGGTGTGCCGGGTTGGCGTTGCTGATTCGAGACCGCGTTCTGCCATTTCACAAATAAAGGGCTGTTGTTGCGTCTCCAAAGAGGTGCGGTTGGCTGGTAACTCGAAGCCTGCGAGTTGCTCTGATCAGCAGCTGGAGGCGTCAAAACATCATCGTCACCCTCCGTCAGGTTATTTGAATCTTCTGTGACTCGATACGCTGAAAAAAAAAACAAAAAAAAAACACAATTACAATGGTAATTATGAGGCTTCACAGAGAAATAAAGTGTCTCATTACCTTTTTTAGATGGCAAACCAACGCTGCCACTGAACAGCAAAAAAATCCAGGAAACCCTGCAAAAGAGGAAAAAGATTAACCACCCAATTAAAGCATCTGCGCTCAAGTGCTCAGAAAATTAACAAAACTCACCACAAAAGAAGTCCAAGAGCCATGGCTGTTAGCTGAGAAGCAGCACCACACACTTCTCAGTCGCTATGGTTTGAGACAGCTCAGACGTGGACTTCAGTGTAACCTCTGTCCTGTCAGACCTGCAGCCTCCTGTGTCTTTTATAGCAGCGCTCAGGTTCCTGCTCACCAGGAATCATTATCTGCAGCTGCTCACAGCAATTAGTGGTCAGATAGTTTGCAGGTGCAGCAGCCGGACTGATTGAAGCCCTGAAACAAGCCCACTGAGTGACACTGAAGTGCTTTCTGATATGACATGGTGCACACATGGAGTCAGGCTGTGACATATTCTTTTGAAATCAACACCCTGTGGCCACCGTCTTTGCTAGTGTTGGATTTCTCTCCAGATATTTGATGCTGTGGTAAAGGAGAGGGTGAGGACAGGGAGACAAAGGTGAAGGCAGTACGAAGCCAGTTAAATGGGGATTACTGGGGTCAGATAAAGGTTAGATCACCAGGAAGGAGCTGCTACACGGAATGAAAGCAAAACACATCATGTGAAAGCGCTGGATGGAGATAATTAAGGAAAGAGATGTTTTATAACGTGTGCAAGATGCTTTACTGAATTAGATCTGTGGACTGTGAGACCAGATCTTCATGGTCTGGTCAACCCTGGGTTCAACCACACCGCCGTCATTGTGAACTCAGGTGTGACCAACACTATAAAAGTCACACTTTTACCTGCACGTCGCTCCACAAAGTCACTGGTTCCTGCGTCCTCTCATGCCAGCAGGGTCAAGTCACCGCAATGCTGCAGGCAGAAGATCTACGACTTTAATTAACTGTCTGAGCGAACAGCGTGAGCTGAGCGCCTCACATCCACCAGCCTTTTATATGTTTCATACAAAGCTTCTAGTCCAGATGTAAAAGGTCACATTCCTTCCTGAGGGATGATGGTGTGCCTGGGTTTGTTGTGCTCATGCTCACAGTACGTTGTGTGTGTGCAAAAAGTGACGCAATATTGAAAATTTCACACTTTCAGATAACATACGTGTGCAAGGGACGGAGCTCCATGTGCAGCGCGGTGGCGTGTGAATGCATCCTCACAGGTGGCTGCTCTGGGGTTCAGACAGACCTTGTTCTTGTAGCATCGATGCTCTGCTTCTTGGAGAGATGATCTCCAGGGCGCTCGGTGTTCTCTGCTCTCACATTCCTTCATTGGATGGACGTGTGATGACTTTGGTAGCTGTGGATGGATTCTGTGGAACACTATGGATCCCTGGGACGTGATTGTTATTACATGAGACCCCCAGACAGACAGTTCAGAGAGATTTTAGTTCAAATATTTATCGCCCAGGCTCTAAATCCAGGCATGTGTTTCCTCCTGTGAGTGCAAACTGTGAGCTGAAGAGCTGAACCTCTGCTTCTCTGAGGCGGGAAGGGAAAGTCAAACAGCTGCACCTCTGCAACACTGACGGTCGTCGTGATGCTCGTATCTGTGCTGCCAAAGGTGACAGCGTTACCTGTGTGAGGCAGCGGCAGAATACTTGGCTTCTGCTGGAATTATTAGAAAGGTGATAAAGCAGGGCTGCTGAGATCCTTCATCTTTATCCTTTTCCCAGCAGGGCTCATATCAGTTTATGGTTTCTTAGGCACGGGCAGATTAAGGGCTGCCTCCAGCCTCCTGCTGTGCACTGAAAGGCCTGATAGCGGAATTAAAAAAAAGAAGCCGGCCGTGATTACCCTCCTCTGCTGCACAGCAGCGATGTCGAAGTCGGAGAGGAAATGCCTTTATTACTGAAGTCATGTGTGGGTGGAGGGCCGAGCCCCTGCAGCTCCCACTGCTCCACCTTCACATTGTTCAGCACACAGAGGCGTGGTTCTTCACAGCGCCCTGTGTTTTGCAGGATTACTGGTGAACCGATCGATACGTGAACAAGTCAGATTTCATGTAGCGTCCAACATGATTGCCTTTTCTGGGTTGATCAGGTGTTGTTCTGCACTAGATCCACCGTAGGAACTGTGCAGGATGTGCCTCACCTCAGAGTCAGTCCATCGCCAAGCAGGCTTCCACGTACCTGCTGCTTTGGTGCAACACTTCACACCTCATGATCCATATGTTTTTCTGCATTCACATAGATTGGTCGCTGTTTGTTTCTCTCGTGATCAGCTGTGGTGCATCCTGTCACATGGACCTGCCGAGTTGTAAACATCGTTTCCCGCTTGGCTCCACTCGCCGCCTCTCGCTGTGCGCTCTTTTGTCTCCATTCTTAGTTGCTTTCACTGCTGCTTGTTTTTGTGTGTGTGTGTGTGTGTGTGTGTGTGTGTGTGTGTGACTCATAAACTTATTGTGTCAGAAAAAGAAACGCTCGTAGTGTAAAATGAATTTCTGCTCTACTCTATTCATACCTCATGCTAAATATCGCAAACCAAATGTGATCCCTATGAAACGCAAAGATCTTGCAAAATTAATGAGATCCCATTAGTTCAGTCGTACTTTCTGTATCGAGCTCGCGCCAAATATTATGGAAATTTAAATGAGAGCAGGACTGGAAATTACTGAAACATATATTCCAGCAGGTTTTATGCTAAAGCTGTTGTGTTCTTAGTTGGTAACTTGCTCATGTGGCGGTTTTTATGCGAGAAGACACATCATAAAAAAACCCTCAGCGAGGGAGCATCGACGCCTCCAAAGGGCTGTCAGCTTCTTTACACTCTCAGAGTTCTGTTAACTTTTTTCTTCTTCTTCAGTCAGTTTCTGCATCAGACATGTACAGCTGAGTTACTCCAATATCCCAGTTTGTCAGAGAGCAGTTTTACAGTCACAGGTGAGCTGGTGTGCTCGAGCTGGTGAAGAAGGAGGCGGGAGCATCTTAAAGGAAGCAATGGTGAAGAGCAGCGGTAGTCAAACGTTTTGAGTCACGACCCCAAGATAACAGAAGTTTGTGTTCATGACCCCCCAGTTAGAATTCTGGACGTCTGATGAGTGAGAACGCTGCTGTTCAGGCGTTAGATAGATTCCACAGGTAGGTCTCTTTACATTAACACCTAAGTTTTCTTTTAAATGAATAAATGAATTGAATTGATTTCAAACAGATGAAAAGGGAAAAAAATATAAAAACAAAAGAAAATCATTTTTAAAAGAGCAAAAGAGCAAAAG